CCCCTCTTTCCCCTGACAGGTTTAACTCCCAGGTGGGCGACTCGTTCAACTCCCGGGCAACATTTTTCACCCCGGCCGCAGCGCAGGCGGACCGTTTACCGGCCGCGCTGGACGGGCCGCAGCGCGCCCTCGACGTGGCCCTCTGCCCGCCCCTGACCCGACCTCGGCAATGTACGGCTGGGACGAGCCGGAGCCACGTCCTCCGCAAGAAGCTGTGCCCTGTGTGTCCGTCTGTCACTCTAGCTCCACCCCTAGCGCTGATGGACGAGGGTTGTAAATACTATGCCCCCTCAGTCGGGGCCACCACTGGGGCCCATAGAGGCGCCGTGAAATTTCTACCCCTGTTTGGGTACAAATGTCATGGGTTCCAATTAGCTCCGGTGCTGGTCCCGTGCCGAATGAGGGGGCATGGTACAAGTACCGTTATATCCCAATGAGCTCCTGTGGCGGTCCTGAACCGACTGAGTGTGGCATGATATTTCTACCCCACCCATTCTAGGCCACCTAACACGACATCTAACACTTCTGTTTTTCTCTTTCCCTCCCGCAGGTCGGGCCGCGCGCAGCAGGCGCCGGCGACCGGCTCCGCGTTGCGCCGCCAGTCGCTGGTCGACCTCCGCGAGGACGATGAGGTGCCGGTGACCCCACGGTCCGACCTACGTGCCGGCGGCCGTAGGCGACCCCAGCGGACGGCCTCCGTGGCGGGGCCCGGGGCGGGCTCGGGGACGGCGCCGGGCTCGCCCTTCTGGTCGCAGTCCGCCAACACCTCCCCCTGCCCCACCGCGCCCTCCACGCCCTCCGGCGGTGGCAGCAGGCTCATGAAGGGCCGACACCAGTTCAAGCGCCGCTTCTCCCTGCAGCCCTCTTTCCTCAAGGATGACGGCCTGGACGACAGCCCCCGGCACGGCCACGGCAGGTAGGTGGCTGCGAACCAAGAGCTTTTGAAAAAAAAAAAACTTCTTAAAAACATTAACGTGCACGTTTTAAAAATTTTATAAAGGAAAAAAATTAAGGCGAGAAGGGTTGATCATATGGACATTCCGTGTACACACTGCAAGGCATTCCAAAAGTATCCCAGATATTCAAAGAGTATTGCAGATATTCCCAAAATATTCCAGATATTCCACGTTCAGCAAAACTCGAGTGGTGAACCCCTCGGACTAAGCAAAAATAAAATAAGCTGAGCTGGATTCATAGCAGGCGTAAGGCCTATATAGATTAAGAGTGAGCTGTCACCCCGTTCAATGGTCTGTCGAGGGGCGCGACGCCGATACGACATACGACCGCGCCGCAACCCGTTTGACGGCGAAGGGCATGGAGAGCGACGGTCTCGACGGTCGATGCGGGTGTTTATTGGTCAGCAAAAACGTCAGCCTTGGCTACTGATTGATTTCTGTAGGGGGTGCGATATGCGAGGGTCGAGGGGGCCGGGGGTGTTGTTACGGCGAGCGCGAGGCGACGGGCCGAGCACGTCATTAAGTGTGGAAGGTCGGCCGGAGGGGCGACGGGCGCGACAGGTTACGCTCCCGTGAGGAGTAAGGTCAGTACGGACGAACGTGGCATGTGAAAAAAAAAAACACAAGTGACGCGAACTTTACTTCTTCGCCGATACATCATGCGCGTGTGGTTAATTATTGTTGTGTCCCGTGTTGTGTGTACGGCCGAAGAACTATATGGCAAAAACTGCGCGGTCAACGTGGTGGGAGAAGAGAAAGTCGGTTGTGAAACCTGCAAAGCAAACCCCGGACCGGACGGCGACACCTGAGAAAGCTGCGTGGCTGACGACGCTACAGTAGCAGGAACAGGACAGTTGTTAAAAGTTGTTTCCTTGTGTACGCTCTCTTTTTTGCACCCCCGTTTTCTGGGGTGCGCAGCGTTGCAGGAAGTTGCTGTGTGCTGCTGCAGAGAGCAGGCCAAGCGCAATGCATGAGGCGAAAAGCACGGGAAGGGGTGTGGAGTAGGGGTGGGGACAGGTTGGAGGGGGAGAGGGTCAGTGTCGGAGGGCGCGAGGCCTGCAGGAGGGAGCGGCAACACCAGTGGCACTGCACCAAGACGGGGGTTGGCAGGGAGGAGGAGGAGGAAGAGCAGGAGGGGTAGGAATAGAGGCTCCTAGCCGCTGCTGCTCCGTGCTCTCCGGGCCGGGCGCACACCGCGCCGCACCGCGCCGCACCGCGCCGCACCGTGGTGTCCTCTTGGCGACACCCGGCGCCTCGCCGCGCCCTACTTACTGCAGATAAGCCGCGGTGGCGGTGGCGGCGGCCTTTCCCTGCCCCGCCCCCCGGAGCAGTGGCGGCGGGGCGCGGCGGGGCGGGGCGCGGCGGGTCCTACACGCCGTGCAGCGACACGCCGAGTCATTAGCGCCCTTTGTGGACTCCTGCCCGGCTCCTGGACAGCCGGACGGCTCTACGGCTCTGGGACGGCAAGGAGGCTCCTCATTACTAGGCGACTGTTTTTGCAGCGCGGGGGGGGGGGGGGGAGGGGCACCGGACAGGACCGGAAGGAGAGAGGTCGACATGCCCGGCAGCCGAGCCGAGCGACCTCCTGCGTCCTACGCTCTTAGTAGATTTCGTAATTTTACAATAATAAAATTCCTCACGAACAGTTCGTATTCTGCTTTTACGAATAGTGTTTGTCAAATCCTAAAAAAAAAAACGAACTGTTCGTAGGCAATAAAAAGATTATTCGTAAATTTGTAGACGCACATTTGTTTACAGGGGTGCACAATGATATGGATAACTTACATATCCAGGAATAATTACGATCTTTTCGTCATTTAACATGTATTCGTTTTCTAAGTAAAAACGAAGAGTTCGTGTATAAAATTTAACAGGTGTTTCTTCGTCAATTTACGACGAAATCCTCTACAGTGTAGAGTGACGTGAGTGAGTGGTAGAGAGAGAAGGGGGGGATAGAGAGGACGAG